GTAACATCGCAGGGCATCAGTCGGGTCTATGGGTCTTTCTAGGCTCTCCAGATGGCACTGGAAAGTTTGCATCTCCTCCTCAAACTGCGCTAGCTTCCTTTCTTCTAACTCGGCTATCAACTTTAGAGCCTGGTCCTCTTGCACAAATGGACACGTATTGCGACTAATCCCCGTCCTTAGCCTTCCAAGCTTGGGATGAACCACAACTAGACCCCCTTTTCTACTCCAGCTCACCTTACACCCTAAGGTTTCTACCAGAGCGCCAAACGGGAGTATCATCTGCAATTCCTTCCTTGCCTGCGGCTGACCTTGGGGAGGCACAACTAACGTTCCTCCCTTAGTCTTCCACCATTGATCCCTTGCGTCACCTGCCAGAGTGACTGGCACAGAATCAAGATCTTGCATTGCTGGATTGTATGGCACTACCGCATGCGTTGCTCCACTGTCAAGCAATGCCACAGCCTCTATCCTTGCCGAAAGGGCCTTATCCTCTGCACTGATAGCACGGACACCAAAATCCCTTGACATTGTCCGAAGAGAGTCTACACAGTGGGTTGTTTGAAGATAGGTGAGATAGGTGAGATACTATCCAGGTTATAAACCATTTATAAGTGACTTAGGCATGGTCTAACTCGTTTCTATCTCTATCTCAAGATACTATCTTCGACGGAAGATGGCAAGAGATAAAAGACTTAGAACGGACTTAGAAAAGATAGCTGCGCCAACAGGGTGAAGAAGTAGTGTATGGCCAGAAGAGAAAGAAAAAGATAAAAAAATATAAAAACATATAAAAAAAGATAAAAAAAGATAGGAAAAGATAAAAAAAGATAAAACAGAGATAGCAGGAGTATCAACAGACGGCGCTTTGACGAGTCCGTGCATGTAGTTTTTTTCGTGCACCTTCCGCGAGGCTTGAAGAGGCAATGCGAGACCAGACTGCACGATCACAGAAGAAATGCTCTGATTGGCGTTTCTATACTGGCCGGCACAGCTTACGAAGTGCACGTCCTTTCTGCACACGTGGAAAACGCCGAGCCCTTCTTTGAGGCCAAAAACCAGCTGGAGCTTGCACACATCCTTCCTAAACCCAGAAGGCTTATGCCCGAAGCCTTGAATCTTGAAGCGGAAGTGAAACAGATTGCAAGACACTCTCTTGCAGCTGTCCGCTGTGCCTGTATTGGGGGGTCCCGCCAGCAGCAGCAGCAGCAGCCTACTAGGTCTCAGAATCTGCCAGAGGCAAAGACCTTCTGGCCTCCAGGGTTGAGGCCCAGATGAGGCACTACACGCACTACCCTGCACTACCCGGCCCCAGCTGGCCCAGATTCGTAGAGGGCTCCAGGCACTACTCTCCTTCAGGCTCCCAAGGCCCAGGGGCGCACTACACCACACTACCTTCCGCCAGGGTCCCCAATAGGGTCCAGCAGCTCTTCTTCACTGGTTGGTCTGTGTGGCTCAAGTCCCGGCAGCAGCGTCTATAGGTCTTGTCCCCCAGCAGCTCAGACTCCTGCCGTGCCGGCCAAGCATGGCCGCTACAGACCCGAGCACTCGGGATTGCCATCGTAGGTATAAGTACCTGAAATCAAGCCCTTCCTATCTTTCACAAGAGACGCAGCTGAATGCTGAGCAAGCTGGCGAGGAAACTGCCACCCAGTTGCTGGGCCTTGCGCCCGACGCTGATGCGCTTCCGGCTGCAAGCCTGCCTTCCGAAGCTCTGGCGGCAGGAGCTGAGGCAGTCCCTGGTGCACGGCTGCAGCTGCAGCTCACTCAGCCTTGCGGAAAGTGCCGCAAAGTTTGACGTGTTTGTGCTTTCCATGTTCGGTATCTTTTGAGCCTACTGGTTTTCCTTAAATCAGATAAAAAAAGATAGAAAAAGATAAAAAAAGATAAAGAAAGATAGAAAAAGATAGAAAAAGATACTAAAAAATAAAACAGATTTAACTTATCTCACTTTTATCTTTTTTTATCTCTCCTTTCTCTTTCTTTCTCACCTAAGTCAAACAACCCACTGTGTATAGTTGCGCTTGCAGTGCTGCCAGCGTCACAGGAGTTCCTTGCGTAACTCCCGAGGGTGCTCCGCCAGTTGCGTCCTGATTGACAGACGTGTTGGGCGCGGATTGCGCCGACGACACATCCGTGGCTCCTGGATTGGCGGGTGTGGCTTGCTGAAGGATTACTGCCGAGGGGGTGGCGGAGGCACTAAGTAGGCGGCAGCTACCTTAGGGACTGGGATACCCTTACCGTAACCCTTTCCTTTACCCTTTGGACTACCTTCCTTTGCCCCGGCCTTGCACTCTACTGCCTTATGTCCCTTTCCTCCGCACGTCTTACATCGCTGAGACCTCTCAGCAGACGGGATTGAGTTCCAATCATGCTCAAAGGAACACTCCAAACCCTTCTTGCAACCTGCCGGAGTGGCGTAGAAACTGCAAAGAGGCTTGCCCGTTGGACTGCCCTCACCTGCAGCTCCTGACTTCGGCGACGGTTGAGGAGGCTTCGCTGTACTCTTTGGGGGCTTCGGGCCCTTCGGTGAAGCTTCAGTTGCATCTACACCCTTAATCTTAGCCTGGGCCTGAGATCCCGAAGAGTTACTCTTGTCCTTATCTTGATCCTTCTCCTTCCGGTTGCTTACAGCCTCAAATTCACTAAGAAGCTGTCCATGAAGCTTATCAACCTTATCATCCGTAGGTGTTAAGTCCACTTGCAACTCAGCTCGCACTAAGCTTATTCGGAATGAAATCTCAGGGTGCAACGGGAGTACTTGCCGGGTGATCTTCGTTAGAGCTCTTATGCGGATCGCACAGTCCAGAAGTGCACCACCCAGCTCTGACATGCGGTGGCACCAGCGTCTCCACCTGCGAAGTCCGTCAACGACTTCTTGGGTTGAGTTGGCTGTTGGAGGGTCCTGGATCTGTCGAAGGCCTAGCTCACGTTCTGCAAGCCCACCAGGACCGTAAATGCAGAACAACCGCGCCACCACATTCAGCAATCCCGAAACTCTTGCTGCGCTCAGTTCTTGTCTCACAACTGTAGGTGCAGCGGTGATAATCATAGGTTCTATCCTCCGTGAAACCCTGCTCCACTTTGGATCTTGAAGGCTCGCAGACGCCTTAGGCTTTGAAACCAACCTATCCTTAGGGCCCAGTTTGAGGTAATCCTTATACCACTGCTCAGACTCCTTTAACACAAGCTCCCACAACACCTCGGAACTATCAGAAACATCCGACAAGGCTGGACGGCTATCATGCAACCAATCAGCGAACAGCAGGCAGCCCTCAGGTCCTGGTACCGGAAGATCCGGCAGCGAGACTGTGCCGGGTTTCACCAACTCTGGCTTCCCGGTGCTCTTGGGGCTTCCTGCTAACTCTGTTACTAAGCCTTGCAGTTGCGCCATTCCCGTCAACACAACGCTCATGGGATCTAAGGCGGTCTCAGGGTTCTTAGGGTTCTCTGGTGAGGCTTGGGAAACTTTGGAGTCTACAGTGCCAAACCTTGGGAGATCAGGTTGCTCAATTCCTACACCAGGGCCTACACTAGCTCTTCCTTCTTGGTTGGGGTTTTGGGCCTCTGCGGGTCTAGAAGGGCCTAAACCTGAGGGAGCAGCTGCGGCTTCTGGGCTTACAGGATACGTAGCAAATTGGGTCTGCGGTGGACAGGGTAGATTCGTGTCTACACGATGGCTAGGAGGTGGAGGAGGAGGTGGTGTACACCATGGTAGAGGATGCCTGTAAATCCATAGGCGGTGGTGGTTGAGGGGATGACCCTCCTATGATTGAGCCTAAGCCTCCTCGTAACCAACCAAGTCCAGGAAAACCCCCGGGGCTCACCAACCAAGGTCGTGACTTAGCTTGCCTACCCTGTACATCGTTCAAGCTATTCATCCTAAGTTCATAATTCTCTGCTACCAGCGCTTCTACCTGGGCTCTCAGCCGTCTACTTTCTTCCTCATGCAACGACATAACCTCATTCAGTTGTCGCCGAACTTCCATCTGTATATCACTTGACGTCGTCGATGGAGGTCGAGGAATAAACTCTTCTGCAGCGCGACCATACAGTTGCGGTGCAGATGCATGAAGCTGTTGCAACCTCCTCATGATGTTGCCACCCAGGAGAGGGGCTCCCATGCCGAGATCCTCGGTGTCTCGAGAAGGGGTAGCTCCCCTCGCAATCGGAGACGCAACAGACGCATACTCCACACTATCTCCAGACTTCACAGTTCTTGTTCCAGCCAGGCCTTCCGGAGTGGAGGTCGGATTGGGGACTGGTCTGTCGTCCCTTTCTGATCCTACTCCTCTCGGCTCCTCAGGTAAAGACTGGTGGCGCTGCGAAGTAGATGGAGCTTCGTTCCGTACCGCATCCCGCGGCCCTTGCAGAAAATCTCCAGCTGAACCCGGTAGACTGGCTCCTCTCATAGGCATACCCTGAAGGCCTCGATCATCACGAGCAGGCCCTAATTCAAGGTCTCGATGTTGGGCAGTGACTTCATCATCCAAGTCCAGGCGTCCTCTCAACGGTGGGACACCGTTTACAACTTGGCCTTCCGTCCCGCCCCTCTGCTGCGAGTGCGCATTCGAGTCACTTGGGCGACTCATAACCTGTTGTTCGTCGTGATCATAGAGGTTCGGGTTGTCCATGGCGTCACTCTTTGTTTTCGCTCAGACTAACACAAACATGCGTCCTCAAGACTACAGCTGTACAAATGTGTCATTACTGTGCTGGCTTCTGCCGATCATGAACCCTTGTCGCTCTGCCGATCATGGTTCTAGCTGGCTTCTGCCGATCATGGGGCTCAGCCCCAACTGTGCCTCAGCGGCTTCGGATAAAACCCCTCGTTGAGCGGAACTCTACCTTACAGGAATTCTACAGATCCTCATACAGGACCCCAACATTTACACTGTATTAAGTCCGACAATCCCTGCAAAAACTTATCCCCTAAACCCTAAACCCTAATCCCCAAAACCCCAAATCCCCTAAACCCCAAAACCCCCAAAAGTGGTCCGCAGGCCTCCTCGCCAGGAGGACCCATGGCAGGAGCCATCGCAAAGATCTTGGCCGCTCGGGGCCCAGAGCTTTCTTCAGAGGCCTTGGGCAACGGGGCATAATACTGTTGATGATAAAAATCCTGCATTCCCTTAAGGACCCGAAACTATGGGAAGTATGGTATATGCCTTATAGTGGTTCATGCAGGATTTATATCATCAACCGTAGTGAAATATACGTAACATCACAGGGCTTTCACGTCGTTCGACTACATTGTACTATGATGTGTTGTATCAGGTGTCTTAAGTTTGGAGTTGCTGTTCCAGGTTTTTTGGCTGGTTTTCGTCGAGTCGAGGGTTCAATTTATTGGGTGCGGGAGTGTGAACTTTTTTTGGCTTAATGTAGGAACCTGATTAAGAAACCTTGGGCCTTTATTGGGGTTCCTTACGTGAATCCTACCATTTTGGGGTCATAGGCCCAGGGTTTCTTAATCCGGTTCCTACATCATCGGTTTGATGATTGTAAGGTTGGAGTCTGGGGGCTTTCCTGGCGGTGTTTATTCAGGGGTTTCGGGCTTGGGGCTTTCAAGTTTGGGGCTTCAGGGTTTTATGACGGATTTAGGCTCCAGGGATTTGGGGTGTGCGGAGGAGTCTGGAGGCCTTCAGGAGGTTTAGAGGCTGATATTGGCTTTAAGGATCTGGGCTGCCACGCTATATGACGACGACTATACTGCACCACCATCGTTCCTAACGCTGTGGCTTTCAGTGTTCGGCTTAGGGCTTAGCCTGGTAGAGGCTTCAATGATTGTGTTTTCAGGCCGCCAAGACTGTCGGATCCTTCTTATCCTTAAGAATCCCTCGTCTGATCTCCAGAACCTCCGGGGCTCCGCAACTCAGACTCCTAAACCTGGAACGATTCTAAATCCAAGACAGTGCGTTGAAAGATTGAAGGATGCTGTTTAGGGCAGGGTTAGTGAGATGGCTTTGGGGTCCTCACTGACCGGGATTTTGAGGCTGAGGATGTGCTCCTACGTTGCACACCGAACGCCTTTGAGCTTCGCAGCGTTCTTGAGACTAGGCTTTGGGAAGTGATGCGGGAGCAGAAGTTTGGAAATCTGACTTATTGCACCCAGTTCACGGAGCCTGTTGCCGCACAATCACCGGAAAAAATCAAACCGCTGATCCTAGAACCGAGGTGTTCATCCCCCTACACCCTCAACATTCAGTCGAAAGCAACAAGGCCGTAGGCCCCAACAACCCTGCAAGCCCTGAACTGCCAGAACCCCAACACTGCTGCACATGCCTCCAACACGCTCAAAAACAAAAGAAGTAACAAGCTCGTAGACAATCCTTCAGAAGCTTAAAAGACTTTGATGACTTCTGCATAAACCACATTAGAGTAAGGATCCTACAGTTTAGGGTACTATATTAGGATCCTACTGTTTAGGGTACTATCTGTATACATATATGGATATATCAGGATCCTACTATTTTGGCTACTATATTAGGATGAAACTCCATTTTCGGAAACTCCCACATCAAAGCCATGAAGCCTTCAGCCCGAGAGGTGCCTCCACTCTTCCTCCACCAACTACCGAGCACCTTGACTTTGCAGACTTTGGAGGCGGGGGCCGAGCCTTCCTACGGTCGATGATATAAGTCATGCATTACCCATAATAGGGAATATGTGGGAATTATGTTATATTCCTTGTTATGGGTAATGCAGGATTTATATCAGCAACCGTAGGAAGCAGCAGGTGTAGTAGTCGTCGTAGTTAGCAGTAGTAGAGTAGTAGTAGTAGTAGTAGTAGTCGTCGTCGTCGTCGTCGTCGTAGTAGTCGTAGTAGTAGTAGTAGTAGTAGCAGAAGTAGTAGTAGTAGTAGTAGTAGTAGTAGTAGCAGTAGTAGTAGTAGTAGCAGCAGCAGCAGTAGTAGTAGTAGTAGTAGTGGTAGTAGTAGTAGTAGTATTTAGTGAGTGCGGTAGCAGCAGAAGCAGATGCAGCAGGAGGCCTGTCGTAAAGATGCTCTAGCGGTTTGAAGTTGCGGGTTCATGCATGCAGTCATGGGACAATCCAGAAGCCAAACACTTGTGGATGCATTACATGAAGAACGACACGACGGCTCAGGGAGGGCTCGGGGTTCAGCTGCCTTGTTGGCAAGGACTTGTTCAACAAAAGCCCAAATGTGGTGTGAAGATAGGATTCAGTTTACTAACGCTCCAGGAATGCTCAGAGATCGGATGTCTTTTTGGGTGTTCCACTTGATACTTTAGGGGTTTGACTGTCTCTTTGGGTATGCATAAGGAGTTAGAAGCTTGGCATGCTGCGTTGCAGCTGATCGAGGAGTTAGGAACATCGGGGTTATCAAGTTTCAGTTGCAAGCTACTTGCCAAATCCCCGCTTAGGGCCGGAAACCCTGCAAGCCCCAAAGCTTGGGAGCTCTTTCGAAGGCGCTTCTGAAGCTCAACTGTCTCTCTTCGCCTGTTGCAGAGGCCAGGAGGCATAGATGCGTAGTTGCGGTGTTTGCTCAGCTTCCGATTCTCCGCGGTGTTCGCTTCAATCTTCCGAGCAGTTTCGGTGCATTTCGAAATGCCATTTCGAGACGACAGAGGAATCCATCGTTCCTAGACGCACGTTGTCACCCACCTCATGTCACGTGAAGTTTGCCTTCCCTTCGCGGGGCGTTGTTCAGCTGATGTGCAGAACTACTCATGGTACAATAGGAACGTGTGAGATGCTCCACAAATCAGATTGGGATTTAGGGTTTAGGGTTCTACATATATGTATATGCATACATGCACACATACGTGTATGTGTATACATATATATGTATATGTATATATATATATATATATATATGGTACCCCCCCCCTCCGGTACCTACCTTTTCGGTGTTTTTATCAATACGGTAGGCTTACACGTGTACTGGTTTGGATTGGTACCAGGGTGGGGAGGTGCCCGACAAGCCCTCTCTGTGCCCGCACGCCCTGTCTGCACTGACAGTGCTATGAGTAGTAACTTCACCGTATTAAAGTAATTAGCCTCCTGGGCCGTCAGCCATTGTGACTCGTGGTGCGTGCTGTCGGGGCCGATTCAAGTTGAATCGGCCCGATTCAACTGAATCGGGCCTCGGATTCAAGATTGAAGATTGAAGATCCCTGGGAAACTTCTTCCAGGCATCTTCAATCTTCAATCTTGAATCCGGGGCCCGATTCAGTTGAATCGGGCCGATTCAACTTGAATCGGGCCGACTTTGCTCCAAGTGCATTCGCCCAAACATTCCTCCCGCAGTCACTCTTGGATCACACACCCACGTAGCTTCCTGTGACACTCATTTCGATCGTGAGCGAAGGGATTCCCCAAAAAACAGGACAGGGGCAAAAGAGTGTACTACTGGGGATCGAGAGGATGCTAACCTACCGTTAGTTTTGAACTTGCCACTAATGCTCATCGTTTTGGGGAACCTCAGCCTAGTCCTCGTATAAACCTTTCCTCAGTAGTAGCTTGGATAACCCGGCTATTCTGACTCATGTTTACCCGATAGAGACGCCTTGTAGCTCAACACCATAGATATCATGGAAAAAATGCTATGCCGACTAATAAACCCACCAGTCGTAAGCATGTCAACCCCCATACCTTCCAGAATTCGGAAACTAGTCTCCCCTTCAACTGCAATATGTGGGTCTAAGATGGACTTATACGCAAACTTAATACCGCTTAGCTATTCCTACTGCAATTCTTCCTAATGTACCGAATACTGCTCTCAGCAGCGAGCCTAATAATCACTGGCCGTAGGAGAATCGCCTGAAGTCATGAATCCCGAACTTTAAAAGTCATGGCGACCCCAATCTTAGTTAGTTACTGCATTTATGGGTACAGGTAAGCTAGACACGGCCCACGTAATCCCAAGTACTAACCCCCGCGGTAACCATCAGATTCATACTAATATTAATATGAGCCGCCCAACCATTTTGTTCATAAGCATGATCCTCCACTCTCTCAAGGTGTGGCGTTGCTGTATCGATGGCCTGTAATTTAAGGATGATATTTGTACGTGCTTGCGTAAGCCAATATACAATGATATGTCCCTTTTGATTGTAGATGCTCATGTCGGACTTCAACATCAACACTAACACTATCCTTGCCATTAACCCTTATGTCAATGCTGACCCTAGTATTCGGCCTGATATAGCCTTCAGACTCTCCATCGTAGCCTCAGTACGACCTATAGTATAACCCCAGTGTTTCTCTTATGAACAACCTTAGTCAGAGCTGTGTGATAACCTTGATATCCTGGTCTGTGTTACACCTGCTGGCTTTTTTACCCCCAAAGCTCGCTCCGGCGCGAACATGCCATTGCCTTTGCTGCAAATACACATGTAGGCAATGCGCACCAGTGTCTCATCTGCGTCTGCTGCTGCTCTGTCTGCAGCAAATACAGCACTTCCTGGCGCATGGGTGAAAAATACTGGAAAAAGCATGATGCAGCAGACGCACTTGAATGTAGGTGGCAACGGCTTACTGGCACTCACATGGTGCAGTATTCTTTGCAACCTAGATTCCGAAAAGTTATACCCAAAAGCACACAAACCGGAAAAAGGTAGGTACCGGAGGGGGGGGGTTGCATATATATATATATATATATATGTGTGTGTGTGTGTATGCATACCTGCGTACAAACATACACACATACCTACAGACCTACATACCTACAGACACGTTCATAAACCCATACACATATACATATGTATAAATGTGTGGTTGAAGATTTGTTTATTTGCTTATGTATTGATTGACTTTCTAAGCGCGTGGATCGGATGGGGCCGGCAGTGTCGAAAGAATTCGACCCTAAAGCCATGGCTGACTCTTGGGTCTTTCACTCTGTAACAGTTGGATCAAATTTATCGATGCTTGCATAAAGCCCTTAATCTGACCCCTAATATAGGCTGTGATAAGGCAAAGCTCGCATCCTAAACCCTAATACAGACTGTGATAGGGTAAAGTTCGCATCCTCAACCCTCATACAGACTGTGATAGGGTAGTGGGAGTACCCTAGGTCTTGCTTCGCGAGCTGCCCAATGCCAGCTGCTCAGGTAACACAAGGGGTCTGGGAAGTTGGTGATACTATAGGGGACAAAAATAAATACCAATACTCTTTTGGGGTTCCATATTTTGATTATAGTATAGTATACCCCAAAACCCTATTCTAATTATTAAGGCCCCTGTAGTGCTACTCTATTTTTAGGGTTTCGAGGTATTCCCTGCAATTCTCTGGTATGGTAGAGAAACCTCCAGTACAATGTACTCTCAAAACTTTAGTATAAGAATCAAAGCCCCCATGATCGCCGATGCATACAGGGTTCTGCGAGGGCTTCTGGGGTTTTTCACATATTGTAAATCTCCGGCCTGTGACGTCTGAGTAAGAATTGTAATACTACGCACCGATTTGGGATGTTTTCTCATGTCCTTGCTGGTTTAATGCAAGCCCTGTTCATGCAGAATTTCGGGGCTGTTGAAACCGACGACTACATCATGAAGTTCAGGTTGCCGGCTCCGTGTGCAGGGGTTTCGGGTTCGGGGTTGAGGCCGAATTCTTGCCGGTACAGAGCCTTTCCAGCAACATGTACCTTGAACCGCTTCTAGAAGGTGCACAAGGAGTTATACAGGACAGGGCAGTTGCCAAAGGCATGTGCAAAGCCTTGACCACCACGTGTACAGGAGTCCGCTCCTACGCCGAGACAAATACCTCCATGCAATCAAACTCTACATGTAAAGCTGCTGCTGCTGTTAAGTGTGATTTGAACTTTCGGCCTACAGTCTTTCTGAACATGAACAATACTACCGCTAGAACATCGAGCAAACTCTGTTTATGTGTATGTACAAAACCGCAGAAGATGTGCACATACGTGCAATCGCACTGCAGCAAAGAAGCTCAACTTTTCCAGTTCGACCCAACAACTGAAATCCCTACATCATATGGCACCTAGTTTTGCTATTCTGCTCTAGCTCATGCGACCTTAAGTGGGGCCATTACCCAGAAAGGCCCTGCGCAACCACTACATTCCCCCTTAAGATGCACCATAACTTCATAACCTGACCCCCAATCCCCACACACAAGTTCAAGAAGCAATAAGCAGTAGGGACTAACACCAAGGAGGAAGAAGAATGAAGTTGCCAAACAAAACACGCAGATGAACTCGGAGATGATACGGGGGCTTTACCAATCAGAACCGGCGCTTTATTGGGGCCCCAAATACAGAAGAAGGAACCCCCCAAAGCAAAGGCCCCTAAACCCCTAAACCCCTAAAACCCTAAGCCCCTAAACCCTAACCCCCCCCCAAAAAAAAAAAAACAAAGGCCCCTGTTTCTTACGCACAAAAAAAAGCTCCGAGGCCTGGCAGCTCAGCAAAGAGGCCAGGACTGGGGCCCAGCTCCCAAAATTTAGGCCTAGGGGTACCTTAGGGTTTAGGGTTTAGGGCTAGGGCTACCTTAGGGTTCCTTTACAGGGATCCTTCCGAAAAAATTAGGGGGGCCTACCTTTATTTTTGGGGTGGTTAGAGTAAAGATTCAACTACTTAGGGCCTTAGGGTACTAGGGTCCCCCCCTATTGTCGGAATCTCCTAACATCCGGGAGCGTTTGATTTCGCGAGGGGGGGGGCCACAATCCTAGTCTAATTTTTCAGGCCGCTATGTTGAGCCCCGAGGTTTGGTGTTTTTTTACGGGAGTCTCGCGGTTCTGAGAGGCCGCGGGTTACTTACTCGTGGCTTAGCCGTCAAAATGTCGGGGGCAAGGATTCTCAGACTCGAAGTTCGAGCACCCTGAGACGAAATCCGAAGAGCACAGACACCGGGCGCAGGAGCTTCTTCGTCTTCTGCACATCCTTTCCGAGGCGCGACAACTAAGCGGCAGTGCGGCGCCACCATCCTCCTTCTCTTCGCGCAGACCAATGTACAAATCAGGTAACTGCCCAGATGCATACTGCCTTGCTTTTCACAATTGCTCATTTCGCTGGCAGGCGGCTCCTCGTGCAGGAAAGCGCGGCTCCTAGCGGTATTCTGCAACAGGGTGTGCTTTGGGCTGGAGTTCGGCCGTCGCGCCCGTGGCTTTGAAAATAAGTTCGGTGGTTCATCAGTTCAGGATGTATGGCAAGGTTTTGTGGTTCGCTTCTGATAGGTCAGGCCGTGGCCCATGGTTCCATGGTTTGGGGTTTGGTTTGAGCCCGTGATTCTGAATATGAATGCGGCTCTAACCAGACTGTGGCAAAGCAATCGGCAAGTTAGCAAGAGTAGCAATGAGAACAAAACCAATGAGAATACATGGCAAACCGACGATTACAGCACATAACAACAGACCACAGCAACAAAAACTATTTCGATACAATTCTAGCGCTTGCAGAGTCGGTACGACTACACGTTTGTGAAGCCACTCTTCGTAGCATGACTGTACATTGATACTGGTAGCATGAAGCATACCCCTGATAACACCGGCATAGCGAGGCAATGGCATAGCGGCATAGTAGCTCCGATTGTTCCCACTTCGAGCTCCGGTTGTGATGCTCAGAGACTTGGGCGGATGGCATGGAACTCTTTTAGATTTGATCTCGTAACATTTCCAGTTCTAGTTTTTGGGGCAAGGGCTTCGGAAGGGTCGAGTTCCAAATATCCTTTCGTCAGATGTCAAAATGCCTTAAAGCTCCAACACGCAAGCCTGCTGAACCCGCTCAGCCTGCCCCCTTACTTGACATAACGAGACGAAAACTATGCGACGGGTTTAGGGCTAGTAGGCCTATACGACGCTCTGTAAATCTTCATGAGCAAAACCGTCAACATTCAGATCCTGGAAGCCCGAGATAGGAGTCAAGCCAAAGGGGTGCGGTTCAGGCCAGGCGTGCGCTTGCATCTCCTTGCGGTCGTCCAGGGCTCAGCTCGGTGCTTAAAAACCCTAGTAGTAGAGTTTGTAACCTTTAACCTTCCTTGGGAAGTATTAGTATAGTCCCTATATAATCCCTATATAACCAAAAAGGTTAACCCTTTAATTCCCCATGATACCCGACAGTAGGGAACGATCAGTAACTTCGGACCTGCGAGCCTAGAATCGGGTGTTTTTTGAGGCTTTTGAAGTTCAAGAGAAAGGGGAATATAGGGGCCTTAGTAATTACTTATGCTATTTTGGGGGTTCCATGGGCCCAAAACCTATTCTAATTATTAAGGCCCCTTTATTATCTGCTCTGAAGGGCTGATGTTGCCGCTTGCCATGTATGGCAGTCACAACAACGTGCCATGTGAACTCGGCAGTGACAGTATGCGTCTCATCCTGCATCGCGGCTGCTGTAGCGACATCTTAGTAGTAGATTAAGTAACCTTTAACTTTCTGGTGGTACTATATTTCCATGAACCAGTGAGATGCATCCCTGCCATAGTGACGTAAATTGAAAGAATCCTTGAAAAGCCTTGCAAGTTCTTAGAGGTCCATGAACTTGACGAGAGAACAACTAAGTCCAAACTGGAGCCGCGCAGCTCTGCAGGCACTTTGCGACGCGCGCGCCGCTCTTCGGGGTCGGCTGAGGGGCGCGGAGGGCCTCTCCGAGGATGTCCGCTTAGGGCTGATGTAGCCAGTGATCAGAATAGAGACGAAGTGCTCATGTTTGGACATTCTACGATTGGTTGGCTCCAGACCTCACATGTCGGGTGCTTTCGACGATCCTTCTTGAACCGCCCTGGCAGGAGGAGCTTCTACAAGCTCTGATGGCTTGCGCCGAGATACAGTGCGGAACTCAGGGCGTAGTGCACTGGTACTGGTACCCAAGCAGTCAAACTCAAACCGCCCCAGCACTCCGTCCTGGCCAGAACTTTTTTGGAAATCCATCTAGGGTCGGGTTCAATCTCAGATTGTTCCAAGCAGTCCCATTGTTCCAAGCAGTCCCCGCACTGACTCCTCTGATATGCTGCTTGAGCCCAAGCCAATTGCGTGCACATGACCTTCACCAGCACAAGCCAACTAAATGCCAACAGGCTAAGCACGTGTGTACCTGCAAGCCTCAACTGGACTACACAGGTACACCTGGAGTCTACGAGCGAAGCGTGCCAGTGCGTTGTCTGTAGTTCCGCAAACTAGACGCCACCTACTGCCAAGAGCAACACCAGCACAATGACGACGACTGCTACTACCGCAGTACCAGTAGTACTACTGCTACTGCACTGCTATTGCTACTGCTGCTGCTGCTGTTGCTGCTGCTGCAACTGCCACTGCCTCTGCTGCTGCCACTTCTACTACTGCCACATCTACGCTGACTGCCACCACTACCACCACCACCGCTGCCACCATGTCAGTCGCATGTTCATGGTGGTTTGGGGCTTGAAATTTTGGGTTGAGCTTTCCGGACATTTGACCTAAAACATGCTCTGATGTTACTGATGTGCCAGGACTCTCGGCAAAGCTTGGAGGGCTTAGAGTTCGGCGGGCGGAAAAGCAAGTTGGTTGCTGATTTTGTGTCTGAGGGCTGTGTGCTGTGGGTGAATCTCTTCACCTGCGGTAGTCCTTCCTTGAGGCTCCTGCGACCAATTCGAGAGATGTTTCAGTTTTTGTCGAGGTCTTTCCTCGAAGACGTGGACAGCGAGTCCCCCACCAAACCTCTGCAAGATCTCGCTTGAGCCCGAGATGACCGCGGCCCTTCGGGGCGTTTAGATCCGACAAAGCATTGAATCATAAATGGGAATTTCCGAAAATAGGGGACCCTAACGTAGTACCCTAAATAGTAATCAGGATCCTTATTATAAGGAACCCAAAATAAGGTGCCCCTACTTTTCGGAAACTCCCAAATCCTTCCATGCCCAGTCCATGTGACTGTAGGCTATGCAATCAGAATAGCATCCGGCACGTTTACCAGCAGCAAGTAGCAGTGATGCCAAGAGCTACAAGGATGATGCTCTTGAATGCACAGACTGGTTTGCTGGGCATGGGCTACTCACGATTATGCTGTTGATGTTTTTCTTTGGGTTCAATGACATAGTCCAGATGATGCTGAGTCTGAGAGGGGACAAGACGGTGGCACTGCCCCTAGCAGACCGTAAGCTTGCGGTGTAGTAGGCTAACAGGCGTTTTCATCGCACCCTTGAGGTTTGACATGAGTGTGGTTCACTTGGTCCATGCTGGCTAGAAGGGTCCACAAAAGCAAGCGCTACTCCGCATTCGCTGGCTTCCGGATGTGTTCAGCTGCTACATTGCTTCCTGTCTTGTCCACGGCAGCATTCTGATGGCAATCCCCAAACGCGAAGTATAGACTCTAAATCATCCCAAGTTACGGACCCCTCAATAAGGGACCCCGAAGTATCTGAAACCCTGAAACCCAGGAACCCCTACATGGGTGGTTGTCAAAATGATGGTCCCTTTTGGGGTACCCTAAATATCAGGTGCCGTATAAAAAAATGGACCCAAACAGGAAGCCCGAATATTGAGAACCACCCATAGCATTTTTTTTTCGTTTTGCCCGATCCTTCCCTGGGGTTCGGCCAAGGCCAAGGCCGAGCAAAGCCTCGGCAGCTGGCTGCAGAGGCGCAGAGGGTTTCGGGGGGCGATGCTGGGGAACTTGAGGTTTAGAGTTTAGGGTTTGGGGTTTAGGGTTTTGGGCTGGGCAGTTGAAGCGATGCTCAAAAAGATGCTTTTTTACCGGGACTTGTGTGTTTGGAATGAACACCAGCAATGCATCCACCTACCCGCCGAAGCATGAAACCCTTCAAAAGAGATCACGCCTGCATTCTCTTCCAGGCGTGCCATGCAACGCTATGACCTGTCCGGCGGGCGCAGTCCCTTTCCATAGTGGCATTTTTGGTCGTAGGTTCCGGGTTTTTTTTTGAGCGGGAATTCGCGTGTTGCTCGATCGCACAATCATGAGTTTCGATGCCTGGCTTTGAAGCCGCGGCTGCTTCAAATGGGGATGGACTCAGAGTGCCTCTCTTCGCAGTATGCACTCTTTCATTCGGGCGACGGAGATGGCTGTCATCCTGATGTTGTTTGTCTTCAAGTGTTGTCGCTCCTTCCGGTCATGCTAGTCATGTCTATATGTAGGTGCCATATGGTGCGTGCCGCTGCTTTGTGAGCTGTTGAGGTTCAAGCTAGCCAGTCCTCCTTTTGCGCAGCTCGCGCCTTTATCTTACCTTCCGAAGAGATGGTTCGATGCCTTGTCGCCTGCTCCGAGCACGTGGGCCACCTGAATCCGACGCTTCCTGTCGTTAAGGCCTTGGTCGACTTGGGTCACGAGGCCGGCTCGGCGAAGCTTTAGACTTTGAGACTTGAGTTTCAGGGGACTGGGGCAGGGGTGTGCTCGTTCGTCGTTCGTGGCTTAGAGTTTAAAGTTTGGGCATTCCGTGCGACTGTTTTGCTCTTGGATTCACTTATGGAGAGTATCCTGAAATCTAGAAGGTTAGAGAACCGGAGAAGGAAAGCCCCAGCTTCGAGGTGCATTTCTTATGCCTGGAGATGGCGCAGAAGAAGGTCGAAGAGGTTGGGGCCATCTTCCACAACACTGTGGCTGTTCAAAGTGAGCTTTACGCCGGGCGCGACTCGGGCAAGTTGGCCATCTACAGCATTATGGATGCTGGGCTGGGGATATGTCTGCCAGGCTTCAGATAGAGGCATTAATAAGCACCTATACAGTCGCGGGGGGCTCCCTAGTAAAACTATGGTATAGTATAGGGCCCTTCGCCCTTCTGGTACTAGGGTTCCCTATTATAACTCCAGTATGAGAAAAGCCCTTCTGGTTTTGTTTTGCTCCGCTGTCTGGTGCGCCGAACCTTCTTTCGCGTGACGGTTTTCGAACCCAGGAAGAGCTGGGCCTGGAGATGTCCTTCTTGAACATTCTGAAGCAGGGATCTTAGGATTTAAGACGGGGTCTATAAGGGTGACTACAAGGGATCTATAAGGGTACTATAATATTCCTGAAGCAGCTTTGTAGCTGAGTGAATACACTTTACACTTTTTGGGGATACTACTACCTTACTACACGTTATAAAACTGAAAGTGTACACTTTTGGGGGCTTGTGAACTCAGCAACTAAGGCAGGGATCTTCGGACTTTTAGGACTTGCGGTCTTGGCGTTTTTTGGATCTTAAGCTTCCCCAGGCCTTCTGTTTGGGCGTTCTTTCCCTTTCCGCTTCCACAGGCTCCAAGCAATTCTAGACTGAGCTTCTGGGGCGGTAGGATTTGGGATCAACAGGACCCGCAAGGATGTTTTTGAGAGCTTATGAGATTTTGCGGGTATTTGGAGCTTAGGGTTTGCATCTGAACCGCAGGTGAGTACGCGTTGTTGTGCCGTTGCTGTAACTTACTATAGGTGGTTTGCCGTGCAGCGCCTCATCTAGTGGCTCCAGTGCTGATGCACCCTAGACCCTCCAAGCTCTGGTTGGTGCAAGCCCAATTGGAAAAATGCGGAAATATCAACCCATCTCAGGCAGCCCGCTACCTCGGAATTTCCTTCGATTCCTGTTCTAGCTGCGTAGAAACTATTCGTGCCCAAAGGAACCCTAAAGCTTAAACTTGAGAGCATAAAGCTTGACCCGTTCGCCGAGGTGCCTAAACGTCAGTCTGGAGTTGGAGCTGCCGGGCACAATGCGATTCCTACAAGAGCTGCTACTGGGCTGAGTTTCAGGCTTTAGGGACTTTCGGGTCTGAGCCTTTCCGGTTTGGGGGCTCTTGGATTCAACGAGTGTTTTGAACTCGATACTTTCAACACTGCTGCTCCTGCTGCTCCCTCTGCTCCTGCCACGACGACACCCACTGCTACAGATGCCGCTGCTGAAGCTGGTGATGCCGCTGCCGGCAGCCATGGCGACCACAGCAACAACCACTGCTGCGACTGCCGCGCGCGCTGCCACAACCAGTGCCAAACTCCGATGACGATTAAAAGCAATGACCTTGTACTTCTACTGCTGCGCCTGCGACGACCCTGCCCGCCAATGCTCTCACGCCCCCGCCCAACGGCCACGGCTACAAAAAGAGCACGAACGGTGGCAGAAAATGACACAGATCACAACGGCAGCCACCTCAAGTAGACCAGTAGGATGGATAGTACACTGGCGAGCAACCTGGCTAAGGAAGCCGGACATCCTCGTTTATGACCCTCTCATCACCAGCAGAGCGGCGCCCTTGGCGGCCGAGGTGCTTCAGTGCCACAGAAGCCCCAAGACTCCCTTGGCCCTGCGCTGGTACCGCTCACGCATCAGCCGCGGGCGAAACTCATCAACTGACAACCCCGAAGCAGTTGCCTTGTCAGGTGTTGGGCATTCCATGTTTGGGGCTTCTCACCTTGGCGGGGCCGGGGGCGATGCGCTGCCACGGCCCTGCACTCTTGGGGGAGATGACCCTGGAGGAAAGGCTTCAGGATTACTGTAAGGGCCTAGATAATTACCCGTAACTGTACTATTTTGGGGTTCTTTACTCTAGCGTGGCATACCCACCCTAGTTTTTTCAGATGAGTTCTCCTGCACAAATCGGATCCCGTTGGTTGTGAGGAGGCCGGCAAAGAGGTGAAGCAGTTTTCCTGGCACACGGCCGCCACTAAGCGCATCTACAGCAAGCACCTTTGGCTCCAATGTGTGGTCTTTTAGGTGATTCTTTATTCAGTGGCTTCCCGTGCCGCTACTGTGCTACAGCAATTTGGTTCGCCTATCACGTCTTGTTGCCTCCGGCTGGGTGCTGCCACTGCCTTGCAGGGACCCTGCCCGAAAGGAATACAATAGTCTTGATCATGCTCAAATGCCCCCTACTTCTGAACTTTCAGCACAGCCCTTAAACTTTAGGCCATAAACCCCCCAAAGAGCCTTGAAGTGTTAGTTTCCTGCTTTGCAGGTACAACCTGGCCCTGCAGAAAACCCATCTTTTGCCCGACGGCTACCTGGACACTTGCCGCAACACCGTGCTGGTGACGACCTCCGAAGAGCTCCAGGTAGATCCCATTTAAAGGGGCCTTAATATGGTTATAAAGGGGTCTATAAGGGTTACTATAAGGGATCTATAGAGGTACTTTTGTACAGGTGCCTTCAAAATCCAGGAGCCAGAGACTCCGATATCCCTTAATTAAGGAATTTACCTAAATCATTTTTGGGATCCTACTATAACTTAGGGTATATTCCTTAACTAAGGGATATTGGAGTTTTTGGGGAGAGAGGAACATCCTACCTTGCTTAGTGGGGAATGGAAGAGGCCTTTTAAAGGGGTTTATAAGGGTTACTATAAGGGATCTAGAAGGGTACTGTTTACATAATATTCTGAAGCTATAAGAGCTCCAGGAGAAAGAAGAAAGCCTGTTAAAGCAGTGGGTGAACTCTGGGTGTGTAGCGGAGTAATTAGCGCTTATTGGGGGGTGGTGTTGGTGTGCTTGCTGGGAATTTAGGGCTTCGTCTCTCCTCATGTAGTGGCTGATCGGCACAAGCTTTATCCGCAGGATCCCGTGACGGAACCTCTTGCCATGGCCTACGAGAGAGACGGCACCCGGTTTGTCTTTGTGGGACCCCTGCTGATGCCTTCCGTGCCGGAAGCCTTGGAGGCCAACCCGTTGATCCAGCAGATGCGCGAGGCACGTCAAGCAGGAAAGCGAATTGTGCTCGTCAGCATGGGCACCGTGATCACCGGTGGCGACAAAGTTGCAGGTTGGGATGCAGACTGCAATGGCCGAAGCATCACCGGTCGAGATCTTTGCCGTGCAGTTTGGTCGGGCACCTTCGATGCCTGTGGTGAAGACTTCTTGGTCATCACTGCCCTGGGCTTTCAAGCAGACCCGCTTGGGGACATCAAGGTCCCGAGTGGTGCCGTGTGCATGCCCTCCTTCAGACAGGTGGACCTGCTGAGAGCTGGTGTGGATGTCTTCGTGACACACGGTGGGCAGAACAGCCTCTTGATTGTCCATGTGAAGGCATTCCAACTCCCTGGTCTGCTAGTAGTAGTATGATCTCTAATAAGGGTTATTCCACGTTTTCGTTTGGAGCCTGGGAGCTTCAAGTCCTCGTTGCCTGGAGAGCTCGGTGATTTCCGCCAAGAGAGAGCGGCGAACGATTTCGCGGTTCGATAAGAGAACCGGACCGAGGCTTCACCGAAGCTCTGGCATCCGGCGTGCCGGTGCTGGTTTGTCCCGGTTTCGGAGATCAGGCCTCCTCTCTCAAGTGCGGGGGGCTTGATGTGGGAATTCTTGTCGCCAGTGATGGGATGTGCAGTCTGGCGTTCACGTGACCGTAGCGGAGTATTGCTTAGCAGTCCAGCTGAGAAGCGGGGTTTTTCACCTGTAACTCCGTAACTGTAAAGTCCTCTCAGGCCTCAGGCAAGCACAGAAGCCCTGCCCCACACCGGAGCGTGGCCTTTGACTTTCCCTAAGGCTCCACGTGCCCATATAATAGATACATAGGCCTTAAAGTACCTATATAGGGACCCCTTTAAGGCCTAAGTATCTACTATAAAGGTACATGGAGCCTTTGGGTTTCAGGTGGTGAATGCGGAGAAGGCCCTGGCCCTTGGCGTCGGCTTGAAAGTGGATCGGCCTTCCATCGCCACCCAGGAAGCCTGGGCTTTTAGGAAGTTTAATGTAGGAGCCTTAAGAGTTGGAATAGGGTTTGGGGATATCACCCCCACAATAGTATGGGTAATTTCTGAGGCCCCTATATTATGGGCTCTGGCTTTAGGGTTTTAGGGATTTCATGTTTGAAGCTTTCTTAGCTTTGTGACACTGTGGCCAAAGTTTGATCCGGAACCCCAACACAGATGTAAGATCTAATTTTCAAGGCTGGAAGTCCCCCCCACCCATACTCTCATCGTCATTCCTTGTTCTGTCTCGTAAACCGAATTGTGAGGCTCTCGTAAGAAAGAAACGCAAGGTCACCGGTGAAAGGAGTTGCGGCGCAGAGCACGTTCCCACATCCTGGCCCGACACCATAGTTGTCGCTTTCCTCCCTGAGGACGAGGCAGCCCCCGCCGCGGCAGGTTACCGCGAAGATGTCAGCAGATCTCTCCGAGAGGTCTTGCAAAATCCGGCCTATCAGCGAGCCTTGGCGAGAATCGAAGAGTGTGGGACTCTTCGACAAGGTGGCCTCCCTTCAATCGCTTCGTCGAGTCTTTAAGCAGAGTGTCCCAGCAGGCGACCGTCACCCTAAGCCCCGAAAAGACCTCAATGCTGCTCTCGACGCTGAAGGAGCCGCTGAAGCCCAGGCTTCAAAGCTCAAAGTCTGCGGTGGAGTTCCCCGTGCCGTGGACGTGACTTCGGGGCGCAAGCAGTATGCGCTTGAAAGTTGGCTTTCTGGAAAATCCTAATCGGAGCATAGCAGCGATGGTGAACCTGAAGTTGGGTAAAGACTTCAACCCTCTGAGCAAGTCTTCCCTGCTGGAGCCAGGTCTGAATGCCTGGAACGCCTAAACCTAAGCTGCCTAAGCTCAAAGCCGATGCCGAAAACCTCGCACCCCTCAGCATCTAAATGCCCAAAGCCCTCAAAATCCTTCACACAGATCTACGAACCCTAAGGTGATCCTCAAGACGGCCAGGGAGGAGTTCGTGCTGTCAGTAGCTGCCAATGCCGGAGCTTGAACTCTGGCACCGACCGTGGCATCTCGCGGGTGCGGTTCTTGAAAACGGGTTTTGAATGGTTTTGCGATTTAAGGTATGCCTTGCATTTAGGATATTAGTCATTCTCTGAAACTCCGTTGGACAACAGTGTTCCGACTTATGTATTGTCATGCGGGACTTACAGGTACGCAGACATTGAACCAACGTTCCCTTCCTGTAGCTGTAGCAAGCACTCCAAGCCGAACGACTCATAGAAGAACAACCTCAACATTTGTCGTGCGGGCGACCGTCAGCACGTTGGGCTCTGTGAGACCAACTTGTTCGGTTTCATCTACGGGATGCAACAACCGACAGAACATCAAAATGATGATAAACTACAGAGCCTGTGTTCGCACAGATGAAAAAACACTTCAGCAAACCGTTAACGCGCCATGTCGGTATCTTTCATTATCACTCAGCTTGTCAAGTCCTTAGCAATCCTTTTGCAGAAGTCCGCCTCTGCTCCGAGCACAGCAAAGCTTGCAGAGGTCAGGTCATCTGAGATGTACAGCGGAGATACTTGGATACACTCCGAGTATCATCTGGACGACGGCGAAAGCAGCGCTCCACTTGGCAAAAAAACTCCCCCTCCCCCCAGGCTGGCCACCCGAAGCCGCGTGCTGCAAGCATAGCTTGTCAGCAATGAGCCAACTTTGGATCCTTTTTGGACGAGCGCCTTCTTTGTGCCTCCAAAGAAGCTGGACAGTCGATCCTTCTGTTCATAGAACTGAATCGGGTTACCTCCTTCAAGTTTCCGGTCGGGGATTGAAGGGTTTATAGGTTTCGGGTGTCGGGTTTCGGGCGCAGGTTGTGTCCCCTGATACAAAACTCGAAATGTTGCTCCAACATGGTGGTTGTATGTACTCCATCAAGCAGATGCATCATAAACCCCGTGGACCCTACATAAAACCGCAAACCCTACAGCCTGAACCCCAAAATCCAAAACGGCTCTTTCCCAGGACCTTCTCTGTCCCAGACAAACGGAAAAGCCCCTCTTAGAAGGAGAAGGGGCACCATGTTCTATTCGCAGTATGATAGATGAACAGTCATGGGTTACCAATATTAATGCTGAGGGTTCCATAGAATTCTGCTATTGTATACCCCGAAACTCTACTCCACTTGCTAAGGCCCATCTGTCACATGAATCCCTGAGGCATAAGCGCCCAGGCACAAAGACCGCTCAGCTTCCGAAAGCGGAGCACAAGCAGCTTATGCAGTCTTTTGTGGCATTCTAAGGTCCGAAAAAGGCCAACGCGCTTCAAAGAGCCAGTGCAAAGTGCCCATAAGCTGATTGTAAACACCTTAAACCCTCTGAACCCCGGAGCCTTCAAATCAGAAACCTTCAATGCTTCAGCGAAGTTGAATCCCGCAACTGCGGGTGGCAGCGAAGGCTTCGAGAAGCTGCTGCTGACGGAGCTCTCTGCCGGAGCAGCTCAGCCGAGTCCGAGCAGTCGCAGGATGCTTCGGGGGTTTACGGAGACCCAAGACACATCAAAAGGTAAATTGCATGTTCGTCGCCGGTTCCGTTTTGGTTAAGCCTGGACATTGGGTGTTTGTTTCCGTCTTACCGGCATGTCAGCCCACCCGCACACTCAAATTCTAAATCCCGAAGTCCTTTATCCGCTAGAAAAGCTTGCATTCCTAAACCGCTCCCACCGAAATGTTCAGACCGAACTCAGGGCCCCGTCTCGCCCCGAGCAGCGCAAGCCCTGGCATTGCTGCGGCCCTCGGATTGCTCCAGGCAGGCTTGCACCAACGTCCTTAGCGTTTGGGCCCTCAGGCTTTCTGCATTCACCGCTCTGTGATATTCTCAAACTGTCCCGGGTTGGTTTCTGATGAATGTTGAAATTGAAGGTCCCTGAAGGTGTCCCACAGTGTGTCAAAATCCCAATTGACTGCTTCGAGATTCGATCCTCGATCAGTAACGGAACAACTCGATACTTAATGGTTGCCTATATCCCACCTCTGGATCCGACATGTGTGCGATGCAAAATCAGCTGTTCGATCGGGGCTGACAGAATGCAAACAATGACCGCAATGTCAGCTGCGGTTCCAAAGAAAGCTGCGCGCATGGCAGTACCTCCGAAACACCTGCGGCAGCTGTCCTGTAAGTCACACAGGATTTTGCTCATCAAAAAGCATAATGACTCATTTTTAATGATACCAAGAAGTAATCCTAGGAGCCTACTTTGAAAGCCCTGGGAAGCTGAAGCCGGCTGTGAGCGGCTGCGAGGCTCTGCCAGGCCTTAGGCCAATTCGCACGCCGAGAGCGGAAGAACGCCGCGCAGCCGAGGCGCGCGACGCAGCGCGCATCGGTCGTGAGAAAACAAAAAGCAAGCAAAGCAGGGGAGAGCTGAAGAAATCAAGTGGTACTCGTTGTCCTAGGTAGTGCTCCTCTGCATTATTTGTGTTTGGCCCACGGTGACACAAGGAACTCTTGAGTTTTTAACCATTTGGAGGTGGCTGATTTTTGTTGGAATCGCAGGTTGCGAGAGTTGGGATCAGGAACATGAGGCTGTTACCCGGTGAGGTTTGCGTAGCCGGGGAATGTTGCGGCACTGTGACATATCTTGGGGGGTACTTGAGACAAGCAAAAAAGGTTTCCATAAGCGTAAAACGAGAGTTGCGCTTGCTTTAGGGCAACAGGTGCTGAGCTTTGGTCTTCTGAGAGTTGTGCCATAGTTTCAGTTCTTCGCGCGGTCTGATGATGCAAAGCTGCCCAATTCCAGATATGGCCACGCTTTTCGAGCTTGTGACAAGGTTCGGTTTTGGGTCATGGAGCTTTCATCTCCGCAACAACTTACATTTTTATGGGTACTTAAACCCAATAAGGAATAAAGATGTTTAATTTTTAATCCTATCCCAACCATGAACTAGTTTCTTTCCGAAGGCTTCCTTCAGTCAGAAATTCAAATCTCTGACGGCGGGAAAGAATCCTACTCAAGCCCTTTCCCCAAGCCCTGAAGACTCCTTGAACCTTGAACCCCCCCAGAAATCCCCATAAATTCTGAACCCCAAACTCTCCCAAACAAAATCTGAAGAAGTCCCCCCATGTTTTGAGCCCCTGGGCCCTATTCTAATTATTAACGCCCCTATACTACACTCCTATCCCCTTCTGCTCTTCGGCTTGCAGGAGCCCCCCTGGCCCTGCCATCCCGGGTTTCGTCGCGAAGTTGGTCCCCGTGCCTCGGATCTGAGGTTGCTTTCTGTGCTTGGGATGTTTTAGGGCTTAGGGTTTTAGGGTTTAGAGTTTTAGGGTTTTAGGGTTTAGAGCTTTAGGGTTTAGGGCTTAGGGCTTTAGGGTTTTAGGGTTCAGGGTTTTAGGGTTTTAGGGTTTAGGGCTTGAGGGTTTTAGGGTTTAGGGCTTTAGGCTTAGAAGTGTAGTATAAGATCGGAATTATCAGCAACGGAATTCCTCTTATGGGGTCCTGTATCTTCTGATAAACTGAACAGAGTCTTGTAGGGCGGATGATTGATGATCGGTGGCTATGTTTGCTTCGTCGATCAGGCATCTACCATCCTTCATCCCAAGCCACCAAAGCTCTCCGAAAGCCCCGACACCCTCTTAGAATTCGGCCATGTGGCAGGGCATGCTCCTCGCAACAAACGCTTTCTTACAACAGTCTTGGAAATCCCGGAGGGGCGATAGAGAATAGGCCAACACTGCAACTCACGCCTGTCTTTCCAATTTTGGGCATTTACGCTTCGAGTTCGTCCTTGCAGCTTAGTGCTGTATGATGGTTGCTTCGCGGTTCTTCCAGCTGTGAGCCTAGATACTTTCCGGCTCCCAAGCTCAACAAGCCCAAGAAGAGACAATAAGCCGGCAAGGAGAAGGCAATCAAAGCCCCAATGCACAAACACCGCCCTTTGGTGCGTTCGTCCCAGAGTCTGCAGAGGCTTTGGTGCATCGCCTTCTTGAGCAATTGGAGCTTCTTTCGGCTGAGGAGAGAGCTCTTCATGGGTGTGAATAGGCGGTTTCTGTGGAGAAGGACCGCACAGCTCGGTTTCAAGACGGGGCTCTTGATTCGTCTTGGATGTTGGGTTTTGTGGCCTTTCGGGGATTACGGCAAAGACATGCAGAAGCTTTGCACTACGATTGCGGGTAGTGCTGCAGTTCCTCGAGCCCCTTGTGGGTCCCATGGCAGAAGCGGACCTCGAGACTGTGCTTGTTTCAAACACTCAAGGCCTGACTTTCAGCGCCGAAAGGGGATCCACGCCTTTCCTTGTCAGGAGATGGTGTGCGCGTGGTCTGCACTCTCTGCAGATCTTTGCTACAGCAGCTCTGCTTGCAAAGAAGGGTCCCTGGGCTGCCGAACTCCTGCTATGATGCTATGGGCTCCCATAGAAGGAAGGCCATTGCACAAACGCTTCAGGTCTTTTCCTGCAGCCCTCGCAACACAAGCGGGTCCCAGCTGGATTCCAGCTTCGGATGACAACATGTCACAGCTTAATTAAATCCTAAACTTTTCTCAGTGCAGACGCAATGGGCAGCCCTGTTTGATGCATGCAGTTTCGCACGAACTTACGGCAGCTCAGGTGATGATTACCTGTGTGATCGCTTCTCCAATGCTCTGATGGTGCGCATCTTTCCCGTTCGGGGAGAGGCCAGCAGGAGGGAAGGGTTGGAGTAAAGGTGTAAGGAGCCAGAGAATCGTTACGGCCTTGGCCATGGTGGACTCAAGTACTCTGCTTTGCCACCGGTCTGAGAAATTCCGCGCGAGCACTTTCCGGTCCCTTGAGAATACCGTGACAACCCGGAACCCCTACGGTCATCATACTGATCATGTTACAGGGTTTCAGCAGGTTTTGCATGGATCCCGCGATTTCGGGCATGTGTGGTTGAGGAACGCCAACATGTCGTCCTTCCCAGCACATGCCTTGTTCCTGAAAGGGTCTCGAATAGGTTTTCCATGAAGTCGCTTTGGATTCGGATGACTTGATGCTGGTGATGTGAGGTTGCATGGTACTTGTATGTGAGGTTTTCGAGAGGTTGGCGGTGCCCTTTGGTTTTCGCGAGGTTGGTTGGCCGAGTGTCCACCATTCGGCTTTTGTGAGGTTCCCTGTTGTCGGATCTGTTGAATTACTTTACTACATACATGTTAGGGCAGGACTCGTGACTAGTGTGAGCCGCCGCGTATCATCACAACATCGCGCTGTGCGTGTCATGCCGTGATGTGCTCGGCTCGGTCATATCTCTGAATCCCGAGAGAACATGGGGAAGCCTTTGGTGCCGCGGCGATCAGAATTGACAACCTCTCGGCGTTGCCCGGTGTTAGCGTCCTACGGCAATCGTGAACCAGTGTGAATTCCAATACAGTTGCCTCAAGTTGGCCTCGAAGTGATACTCGTCTCTGTAGATGCGAGGAGCCCTGGCGCTATATGTGTAAGGCAAGGGTCTACGGAAGGGCCTACACAAGGGTTTATAGTAGAAGGAAGGTGTGGATGGAAGCATGGATGGATGCCACATAGTAAAAGGGTTGAACGGACAAATGGGTGGATGAATGAACGCATGGATGCATGGGTGGATGTGGCTGAAACGATTGGAGGATGGATGGCTGGGTGGGTGAGTAGATGGCTGGCTGGCTGGCTGGCTGGCTGGATGGATGGATGGATGGATGGATGGATGGAGAGATGTTCGGTGTTACCTCTCTGCTTGAATCGTTTCCGGACACTCGTTCTCTTGAATCTGCGTCTCTTTGGGTTTTGCTGCGAGAAGCAATGCTTCGCACTATTTCTCATTTCGTACTCTGGCCATTGACATATTGCTTGATTAGGGGGTATAGCGATTTCGGATATCCGGATAAATCTGAAAAATATTGCTTCAGGCTTTTACACCACAATGGAAAGCCAGGACAGAGCCGTGTAAAGCTCGAAGGAAAAAGCATAGGAACATATACACATCTTTCAACACCCTTAAATAGCCAGAGTCAAAGCCATCTAAAACCTTGTGGAGCCAACAGGCTCATGCTGCAGCACTGGGCCAAGCCTTGGCCTGCGCGGCCAGCAGTGCCGCACCTTTTGCCGAACTTCTGCAAGCCGGAGTTGAGGCTGAAGTGTTCTTAGGAATTGCTATTTGGTTGGATGGAAATATAGCTCCCTCGAAGTCTGGAATTGTTGTTTTCTTTTTGGTTCTAAGGGCGCACAAGGAAGCATCTGGAGCCTTCTCATTCGTATGTTCACATGCACCGCGAACATTGGAGATTCATGGTGGTGCTTTGCCAGCTGGGTTGCTTTTAACCCCTAATCCCTTAAATCCCGAGCCCCGAAAGCCCTTGGCCCGAAACCTCAAGCCCTCTAAGCTCGGTGGTATTGTCTTACACTAAGCCCTAAATTCCTAAAGGCCCTAAACCCTGAACCTAAACGAACTCTTGGTTTGTGGCCAGAAGTGACGGTAGGAACTCCATGGCTGGAACCGCGAGGATGAGCAGCTTGAGCAGGCGCCTTCCCCTTCGCTGGTTTTAGGGTTTAGAGGGTTCAGGGTTGAAACTGCGCTTGGGGCCAAGGGTTGAGGTTGGGGATCTACGGAAAGTGCCGGGTTGAGGATTTGTTGCAATTCGGTTGGTTCTCCTCCTGCTGGCCTTGAACCCTAAACCTCTGGGTCTCATGGTTTAGGATTTGGGTTTCAGGTTTGCAAAGCGGACTTGGGCTGCGGTTTTAGGCTTTAGAGCTCAAGAATCAAAGCGATTTTCATTTGCTGGCTCATCGGGAGCATTCGTTTGATTTGTTTCACGGAACTCAAGATGAGGATTGCCAGCCCAGATCAGTTTCAAAACAGCTTCATCATGTCCGAGCACGACAGCCGAACCCCATTGCGAGGCCATGTGCCGGAGCCTGGCGCTGGACGTCCAAGAGCTCACTGATGGAAGGCCGGGATGGGACATTGCTAACTGTGGCTGTTGAACTGCCTGCTGGCCGAACACACATCTACTTTACAGGAGCACAACAACATGTCATGACATTCATATGACACTCCATGACCGTGCAGATGCGATACCTTACGCCAACAGTGAAGCAGTTGAGGGACCAAGCAATATAGAAGCACCCATCGAGATCATGACAAGCAGCTTGGCATTCTCTGCTTGCTGCTTGCGGCACTGTGAGCAAAGCACATGCTCAATGTACCATGTTCATCCACATGAGAAGTCCGTGAGGACAGTATCTCAACTATATGGACATCTATCCAGATTCTACCTCGAGCACCTTCGCCTGGGCAACAACTGCAACCTAACCTTGAAACCACGAACCCTAAAGATTAACAGCTGAACTCTCCAGAACTAACCCTGAAGTCAAAGCGGTACATAAATTGATTCTTTGTTCAGTGGAGTGAAGTAGTAGAGCAGTAGATTGGCTTTTCAAGGAAAAGGCATAGACCAAAGAACTGAAAACAAGCACTTTCGCAATGGGGATTGCAGGAGATTTTCAGCTTCGGAACAACTGACGCTACCAAGTTGTTACGAGCCTTGATATCCGTCATGACCAGTTTCCCAGCTACCGTTCAACAGTCGAAAATAGCTTTGTGTGAAACGGACTCCTTTCTCAGACAACAGGGCCCAACAGAATTGCTGCTGGCAACTATTATCTTAGTTCTTATGCTTTTGACCGCGTAACCCAAACCCTTGAACCGTAAACCCTAAACCCCTAAACCCACGGGTAGTTATGTACACTTAATAGACTTGTTGGTGAACTGAGTTCCGGGTGTGGGCCCCTTCTGTGCTCTGTCAGGCAGCCTGGGAGGCAAGGGTTGTGCCAGTATGGGGTAGTGATGTTGGTGGTGAATCTCTGAAAACACCTCCCGGGTTGGCCCCTCAGCCATACTTGGCATTCCTGACATCCTCTGGGCAGACGGAAAAGAGGGTTCAAAAAAACAACTAAGCCCAACGCCGTAAACCCTAAACTGAAAGCAAGAGAAGATGCCGATCCAGGGCTTCCCCCTGGACGTGGCTGCAGCAGATTCGCAGGCACTACACAAATGCTGCAGAGGCCTCTGAAAGCGCGCGGAATGCGGAATTCCTTACCTTTGGTTAGTCAGGAATGGAAGAATGGTAGGAATAGTAGTCATAATTGTACCCCATTCCTCCATTCCCTACTAACCAAAGGTAAGATTCAGCTTTTGGGTTTAGGGATTGGGCGGAAGAATGTATCCGAAGACCTTTAACCACCGACCTTTCTGCCAGGACCGGCACCTGAAAGCTCTAAGCCCGTGACTCTTTCGGCTCTTGAGAAGATCCGATTTGAACTTAAGGACCCGCAAAGGTTTAGGGTTTAGGGTTTAGAGTTATTTTCATGTTAAGGAACCCGAAGCAGGTGCTGAGCCCTGCGGAGGATTCCTGGGTGTTGAAAGCTTCAGCTGTGGAGGATCTTTGCCACTCGGGCAAAAGTAAGATGTTCAGGTTTCGAGTGTTCTTGGTCTTAGGTTTTCGAGTTTTAGAGGTTTTAATTTAAAGCCTCATGGCTTAAGCTTCAAATTCCCACATGATCCAATGAGGTATGATCTTCTAGGCGTTGAGAGGTCCGACGGATAGAGGATCTTGTGGTTCTCCACCCATGGACGGCTAGTTCGCCAGCCGATCCGGGATGTAAGCAGACCCACTACCGCATCAGAAGCATTCCTCACTGTTGCATTCTCCAGCTTAGGCGTACTTAGAAACATTTCTTAGTGTTGGGTTACGATAGTCCCTTAGTAGCAGCTAAAATTATGATTTGTGGTAGGGTCCCAAGTTCAAGCTTGCCAAGATGAAATCGGAGACAGTGGTTTTTCAACCACCACCATTAAGTCTGTGAAGCCGTTTCCTGAACCCCGAGCCCCAAAGCAGAAGCCGTGGAGTGCAAGGTTCAAGCTGGCACGCTTTGCGAGGCCGGGGGCAGCCTTCTCCTTGCAAAGTCAAGGAATCCCAGCAAGTCGAGGGAAGCGGCGACGTGGATTCGCACGAAGAATCCGCTACTGCCATCTCACCGTAGCGCCGTAGCGGCATGAATGAGTTTGGCCTTTGCCAGTACGCCCAGCCCATACAACCTAAGTCGGGAAGCTTCCGCGTCCGAGTCGTACCACGAGGAATCTTACGCTCGCGTTTTCCAGGGGTGGATGGTAGGGCTTACTTCGGAAGAGCATCTCCGAGCCTAACTCCTCGTCATCAGTGTTGCAAACCTGTGCTGAAGCGCAAGAGATTCAGAGGGTTTAGGCTTTGGGGGCTAGGGTTAAGTCCCAGGCTACCGACCTTCTTCTGCCGTCTGCCCCTCTCTGCCACAAGAGGCTGCCGAGGGCGCCTGCCGCTCCCAGCGCAGAGACCTGAGGATTTCTCCGCAGCTAAAAGAATCTCGGGGAGGGCCCAACCTCTTCTAACCCACTACTCTCTACCCTTCTTTTTCTATTCCCGCTCCCCTCTCCCTCCCTCTTTTTCGGCAGCCGTCCGGCCTTGCACATGGGATTCTGCCATGCACCCCGGTCCAACCACCCTAAGCCTTACAGCCCAACCCCTAAACCCTGCAGCCCTACAGCTTCAACAAGCCCTCGGGGCCGATGCCAAGGAGAACCCTGGGCTCAACCCCCAAAAACCCAAGCGGAGAGACCCCGCACAAGTCGCCCCCCCCCCGGGTCTTTCTGAGGATGATCTTGAGGGTTTGATGGCGACTTTCTTGGATGTGAGACTTCGGCGAGGAAAGGAAAGTCAGGGCTGGGTCCCTTTGGTACAAGCTTGAAGCTCTTCCATACAAAAGGCCGAACCGAAAACCCTGACGCCCATACGCTCATAACTTAGTACCCGAGCTGCCTAACGACCTCAGAGCGTCTGTGCAAGCAGGTCTGATCCCCCTTATACCCAAGACACGGCCAGAACTCGTGATTTCCCGCGAAGGCCCCCTTGAACCCGGAAGTTTAGGTGGAGTTGAGGGCTTCAGGAATCTTTAGGGCATTCGGGATTCAGGGCATAGGAATCAGGGAATTCGGATTCAGCCCTTCCTTTGCAGGAATTAGAAGCCTGTCGGCAGCCACATTTGTGCTCCGATTTCCCGGCTCCACGTGGCAGACTGCAAGCAGTGAGAATCCACAAGACCACAAGATCCTAAGAACCAGCTGGAAGGAGGATGTCATCATTGCTTCGAAGCGAATGCTGTCTACAGTGGGGTGGGGATTTTAGGCCAGGTTTCGATTTTCCGCTCTGTCAGGATTTCGTTGTCTGCTCGAAACTATCAGGTTGTCAACTATACAGTATACATTTAAGCTCACGTAAACCTGAAACCTTCGGCCAATGACGCCCTTGGAGCTGTGGCGTCCGCAATGTAGTGCTGCGGTTCGCCATCAGGCAATCGCCTGAGATTTGGTTTGTGTGGGCTGATAGAGGGTTTTAAGCTTTGGGCGACGCAGCGGTTGGATTTTGTGCAGGCTGTTATGGCCAAACCATCGTGTAGCAGTCGCAATAGGTTGACAACAGCGACATGCGCAACTTCATGATGGGCTGAGCCACATAGACCGGTTTGCCTGCCTGTCTATCGATGTGTACGAATTGTCTATCAGTCGTAGACCTGGTCGTGTGATTGCACGTGGACTTGTCCCACACAACCTCATACAGATGCACGCAGGCTCATTCTTAGAGTCGTAGAGTCTTTCGAATGCAGGTGGATGGTGAGGCGCGAAACATCATAGTGTCTTTGTTCTCAGCTGTGTCTGCCCTGCAATGAAGCAGCAGTCGGACGGTAGTACAACTCTGCGACTACTCGGGTCCTTCAGCAGCATGAAAAGGTCGAGGTCGCGTTCCTTACCATGCTAGGTTGCTAGTTAGTATAGTAGAACCCCTGACCACTCACTACCTTACGGATTTTGGCAGCAGGTGTTTTACGGGGTCATCATTTAACACTAGAGTTCGGATAATTCGAGGGTGGATGTAGCATCACAGAAAAGGCTGGCTTGTTCAGCTTCTGGTTGTTGCAAATGCGCGTCGTGACACTCGGTTACCGAGACCCCAAAGCACCAGATGTGCCCGCCGACGCATGCCAACTCGGAAGACTTCTACACCTGTTGGCTGTCGATATAACCTTGGAGCCTTGATACCCAAAGTCCTGCAGACCTACTCGGAAGCCCAAGCCTGCAAAGTTCGCTCAGGTCAGGCTGGAGATGATGTTATGCTGCGTACCAGCGGCTTCCGTATCGCTCCGCATGTACTCGATTTGCTCTTTGGATGCTGCAGGGTTTGGGGGCTGCGCTGCAGTGCGTTCGTTGTGTCTGTTGCTGTTGCGGTTGCTGGTTGCCGCGATTCTACCTATTGCTTTTGCTTCAGACATGGCGGCTGTTTCGCTTGGCACCTTCAATGCAGGAGACAGGTAGCAAACCTGCCCCAACTTGACCCGACCAGATCCTAGGTGCAAGCGATTCACTGAAGGGTTTTCAAGCAACGTTCTTGCTGCACTGCGTCGCTTCGATTTTCCTCGTCATTGTTGGAATATGGATGCATTGGGCAAATTCTTTGCAGAGTGTGACACACTATCTGGAGGATTCAAGGCGAAGCAATGAAGTCCTGGTGATCTTATCCTGGTTCCCCATGATTCTGCCCGGATGGCCCGTTTTATTCTTTGGTACGTCTCAAGATGTTGCCGAAGGATTCCTTCCGGTGGCAGCCTTTGCTTTCACGCACTTGCCTTTGCTGGATTCAGCACGGGAGCTTCTTTTGCTCTGGGGTTGCTACAGCAGTCTTCTGGGTGCAAGACTCTGGCATCTACAGATGACCACCATGTCGCCCGTCGGGGTCAGCTGCTTTATGCGGCGGTCATCTTTCGTCATAGCAGCAGTCTTTTTATACTTGCACATGCGGATCTGGTTCCTGAAGCGGAAGATGGTGCCTCTTACATCCGCTTGCCTGGAAGAAACCCACCGGCGAAGCTTCAAGCGCTCAGACGCGATGCCACAGCTTCCTGGCCTAGATTCTGGTAGCGATGCGATGCTTCGAGCTCGTCTGGTGTTGCAGCGCAGGCTTCGGTCGTGTGGTCGTGGGGCCAGGTCATCGGTTCCAGGGCTACACTTAGGTGACCTTGGGTTTTGGGGGGGGTTAAGAATTCAAAAAGCAGAACGGACTTGGCTTTTTTCGGGACTGAAACGGTCCACTGTGGAGGAGTGCGCCCTCCAGAGTCCCGCAGTGACAGCCCCATCACCCCAAAGCCAATGCCCTCATCCCAACGTCCCAGAGAATCCCAGAGACGAAAACCCTCCGGTGGCTGGGGATAGGGCGTCTTGGAGGCAACTGGCGAAGCAGCAGCTGATCGGTCAGTTGGTTTGGGCAGCTCACTGCCACGCGCGTGGCTTACTACCGTCTGCTGTGTTGAGTCACATCTTCTCCTTCGTGGATGTGCCTGTACCATCTGAAGATGCCTCTGCCGCGCTGGGGTTTCTCGGCGGTGTCCGATCGACACACACACACACACACACACGATAAAGTTGCCAAATCAATCCGGGAACAGCGTTTCTCTCCTGTGGCCCCAATCTTGAAGAAGATTACGTCCACAAACCTTTCATTCCAAAACCGAACATCGAAGTCCTAGCCTCAACCTGCCGGTGCAATCGCGCACCAAGCCATGAACTGAACCTTCCCCGAAGCTCGTGCCTGAGGCTCTTAGATGATGACTACGAGTTGTTCTCGCAAGTTTCCAGCATCCATGCATCAAGTACTACTGCTCGATCTTCGATGTTGCTTGGCCCAATTCCTGGCCTGAAACCCGCAGCAAAGCTTCAGCTTCAGGGCTGGTCCCTGCAGCTTGGAGTGGTTTGAAAGGGCTTAGGGCTTAGGGTTCAGGCCCAGGATCTATAGAACATTCGGCCGCGATGGTCGTAGACCCGAAGGAGAGGCCAGTTGCAAAAGCAAACGACCTATAGAACTAAAGTCACAGACGAGTCGTTGTGCAGAGCAGGTCGTCGGTGACTTATTTGCGCTCCATTCTTCCTGCGCGACTAGCTCTTGGGCCGCGGCTACTGCCCAGAAGTGCCGTTCATCCTCCGGTGGCAGAAGCCGAAACGCCGAGGGGATCTGAGGCGTGGAGGGCAGTCGGGTCAAGAATTGAAAAGTCATTTACTACTATATCTGAATAAACAACGTTAATAAGAAATAAACAGGGAAGCAGGAGTTTGGGTTTCAGAGTATCGTCAGCTGCGTTTGCGGGTTCAGCATCAGACTATCATTGCCTTCGGCTATGAAGAGGCCTCTCTTCTAGGAGCCCTCGGTCCCTCGTTT